CTTATTAAAAGTTTCTAACTGCTCAAACATTGCCTCTTTGTAATTGTTTGATGAAGCAGTTGTTTTATTACTTTATGCTCATACTTAAACATAATTTTGAAATTATAAAAATATCCTTTCGAAACACTACAGTTTCAACATGTCTGTTTCTTCTTGAATCTATAAATTACAAAAAATATAGTATTGTACTATAAAAATTCTTTTTTTACAAAACTTAACATCCTATTTACTCCTTGTATGATCATAAATGTAGTATGTAATAAACTTAATCAGACAAGTCTGATATTTTATTACAGATTAATACTCATCATCTACTGCAATAAAAATTCAAAAATCCAGAATTTTTAAACATGTGGCTTTCATATCACCAAATCACAAAACACAAAATTTTTCCTTAAACTGGGAAAACTTTAGATGAAGAATCAGAAGTCATTTCAAAATTGGCAAAAATCTCTCAAGAATTTTTCTGATTTAAGCTAGAACAAAACAGATTGTAAGACTAGGAAAAAATATACATACTATTATTTTCAAGCAGCTTGGAATAAAATTTCAATTCTTTTCTTTGAAAATCCTATTTAGCAATTTTTGAAAAGTTTTTAAAATAAAAAATAAAGATGCTGAGATAGAGAGAATACTGGATTCCAAATTGCAAAAAAACATAAGAGACAATAATTATATTGAAATTTCCTGCAGACAGACAGTACAAAAAGGTATTAGGGAAGAAAAGGAAAGTTATTTTGGAAACCAATAAAAAGGGGTTTATAGACAAACAAATTTGTTCTGTTTTTCCAATCTGACATTCACCAGAGGTTGAGAATCATTCAGAAGACAATTTTATTAATTCACAGAATAAGTTATTGTGATTGATGTAAGAGAAATCAAAACTCGATTAATCTAGAAATACTTCATAAATTTAGAAAACTAAAAAACGTATTTTTCAAAACCCAATGTAAACAGCCACATTTCTTCTGACTGACAAGAACTAAGCAGACAAGATATTTTATTACCACTCTTATTACCCTTTATTAAGAGATTCTTGACCTCTGGTGAATGTTGGATTGGAAGGACAGAATAAGTTTGTTTATTTGCCTATAAACCCCTTTTTAGTGGTTTCCAAAATACATGATTATATCTGATAAATAATGCTGATTTTAGCTTTATATTAAGGAAAAGAAAAGAATAAAATTGACAGAATAGGTGTTAAACAAAGGTATAATTGTTTTGAGTGAAGCAGAAGTATTAGAAAACTTAAAAGAAAAAGTAAAAAACTAAAGAACAATAGAATATCAGAAATTTTAAAATGTGTATAGTGGAAATTATTATACAGTAGAACCCCTCTAGACCGCCCTTGGCTAGTCCGTCACTCCAGTTAATCCGACCGTGGTCATAGTTGAGAAACTTGTCCCGACTCGTCGGTGTCTCACCGCCCATCACATTCTTCTGTGTTTGTTACAGTATATGTTTTACATTGTGTGTACGTGTACAGTTTTGTGTGTGTTTTCAACATGTCAGGAATGAANATTTATTTATGGTTTTACCGTTGTCATTTCCATAAAGATTATAAAATTCTTTCTTGAGTACAAACCGAAATTTTTGTATGCAGATAAAATTGTTTATTGTTCTTCTATGTGAATGTCATTTCTTCTTCTAGAGTTCATACCCCCTAAACGTGCCTTCCACCCACGTGTCTCCGGGTACTACATTGTTGTTGCCATTCGGGCACACCCTTTTCTATGGTTTTCGTCACCTTTGGCATCTAAATTGCAACAATATCACATCGCTTATACATTACCATTAATAATTTTTTTCTTTTATTAAATTCTGGAGATGAATTTATCTACATTAGATCGAGTTTTCTTCTTTAAAATATTTTTTACTTGCCCAATCTATAATGAAATAATTATAATTAAATTACAAGCTAACCTTAGAGATGCAATCACTTTACTGCACAAAATTTGCATGAAATAGAAATAAGTATATCTCATATATGGTGCTACCTCTGTCCCGAACTAGTTGTCGCATTTTGTAAATAATACACTGCATAAATAAAAAAATATATATATTATAATACTACTTTTAACCAAAAATATAAATTAAATACTATTTGCGTTATTTAAGCACTCTTTAGCTTTTAAGAAGGCTTCGGGATTTCATTTTATGCTTGAGAAAGTCGGGACGCCATGTTGAAGTTTACCATTTTTGTACAGCTTTAACAAGAACTTCAAACATTGCAAATTTCTTTACTTCTTTTTTCTTCTTTTTATTGGGTTGAAATCTTAAAAAATTGCAGACCTATAAATTCCCATTATCTTTCTTTAATCTCGAGAACGGAGTTAGATAAATGAAAGTCGAGACCAGATATGGAAAATTTATGACTACTGTTATCAGGAAAAGCGTGATGTACAGTATAGGAGCAAGACACTACTAAAATTGCGAGCATTGTAACGAAAAATGTCAGCCCGACATTGTGGCAATGTCATAGTAAATAACTGTTCGTTTAAGCTTGGATTTCGATTAATGCTTGCTTCATTTTGAAAATATTGCACTGCTGGTACATTTTGTATTAATAATGTTTGAAAAGTTTAAATACTCTGACAATTATTGCCAATATTTGGAAAGAATATAAATATATGTAATAATTATTCCAAAATAGAGTTATATCATTTTAAACAGAAAAATTCCTGGGATTGTTCTCCAGAATTCGATCCCGAGTCCCCCAGAGCAACTGATGTTAAGGTCAAGCAAGTTAGTAAAACTATGTTCAAAATGTTTTTATGCCACTAAATTAATATTAGTATAAAGGAGTTACTATAAAATTTGGCATAAATTAAAATTTTATTCTTAAAATGTGAATTTTTCAGAACATAAATTATCGAATTAAAAAAAACGCAATATAGCATCCATAACAGCAGAATAATCGTTATATTACACGACTGAATAAACTCATTGACAAAAATTATGTACCAATCAGAGGAGTTGTAATTGAATGAAACTATTAGTGCAAACATAATGACGATTGTAATACGTGATTACAATATCGTGACAAAAGAACAATAATTTCATGAAAAAAAACAGTATAATTTAAAGAATCCTTTAGTACGTTGTAGGACCTCCTCCTGTCCGGATGCACTGATGTGATCGGGCCTGCAGGCATCATATGCAATCCTATGACAGATTTGCCCACAGATGTTGCAACTGCCATTTCAGATCCTTCACACTTGTAGATCACTGAATTGGATCCCAGCAAAGTGAGGTAACAAAAACACCACAACAGAGTGCAGGATTTCCCAAATGTATCATTGTAACATCAATGTCTCTCATACCACTACTAGGGATGACTGACTGACTCACACAAAATGGCATCCAGCAATGAAGGCAGTGCATTGCTCATCAGTAAAGATGGAATTGAAACTCTTGCCAGAGGTCCTCCACACACTAACATATCTGTTCCAAAACAAAACTGATTTGTTGCTAAAGACAGTCTGCAGCAGCCCAAGCTTCTATCATGGCAGCACTTCAAACAAAACCAACAATGGAGTGCTAATGGAAAGATGCTTACTGATCACTATGTATGCAAATTTGCTATGCTAGTTGCATACCAATGGTACAGAAGAATATAGTTTTTTTTAACTCCTTCTGCCCTGTGGGCACTAAGAGAGCCTCTTTTAGCAAACCCATTATGGGTTTGGCCAGGCCCACAATGGGGCGGCCGAGGTGGTGAGGGACGGGCCTGACATATCCGGAAGGACCACCCACCAAAAAATTCATGGGGATTTTTTGACCTGCCTGGATTTGATCTCGGGTCCCCAGAACGGTAGGCTGCCACCTTAACCGCTCGGCCATCTGGCCACCAAAGAAAGAATATAGTAAGGCTTTCCACCTGTCTTTGGTGAACAAATATGTTATTGATGCTTGTCTCAGATCAGCTTTCTTAGTGGTATTTGGAGCATCCAGAACCTGTCCATCAGATATATATGCCTTGATGTACTGTTCCCAACACTACCTCACAGTTAGGTTAGAACAGCCCAAATGGTGGGCAATTCAGCAAAATGACAAACTTCTTTCAGCTTGATGATGCAACTTTTCTTTAGTTCCATCATTTGTGCATAATCTTTGTCTGCATCATACAGGCATGTCTGGCACTCAAGACTGCAAACCAGTATAATGAAAATTCTGAACACAGTGAGCTCTGCAAGCCTTTTTATAGGATACTGGTATAGTGATTTTATGCTTTTCTGGTGGCATTACATGGCAAACAATTGGATGACAACTGTAATTTACATACATATCTGAGACCTGCATGCCAAGTTTTGCAGTTATTGGAGAATTATATTTGGATGGGCAATTTTTTTACCAATGAGTATATTATACCAGTGTTTTCCAAGTAGATAAGTAGATTAATGGATTCCTTGGGTCCATAGATCAGTTTCAGTGTCTATGAAACATAAAGGTACCTAGAAATTTGCATTAGCTTCCTAAAAATATACTGATAGAATTAGTTTCCTTATAAACATTACTTATTTTCAATCTTAGTTATAGTTGTTTCCTTCAGCGTGTGTTTAATTCTCATTAGTAATTCGTTTTACCCTTATGTACAGTACAGTGAATTATGTGCACATTAGATAACTACTAATATGTTAAGGCCCTGTGCATTATTTAATTTGCTGTAAAGTATTTCAGAAAACTTGAAATTTATGCTTATATATAGGAATACAAACATATACATATGTATATGTTTGTATTCTTTCATTGTTTGCTGGCTAAATTTAATAGTTTTTCAAAAACAAAGTATTCCTATTATATCCACCATGTTCTATTTGGGACCATAAACAGACATGTAAAATTTGAACATTACATAAAATATCAAATTTTTGATAAGTAATGAAAAGTTGGGTCCAATTTTCAAATTCCATTTTCTGAAAATTATGGTCTTATAATTAGTCATGTATGGTTCTATACCCACAATGTGTATAGATAGAATAAATAATAACTTGTACTGTGTAGAAAAATTTATTTTTATTTACAATTTTAAAATTATTTTTCAGTTTCATGAATATATTTCATTTAAAAATCATAACATGCAAAATTACACTAATTTTTGCAAAACATGTTAGCAATGGCTTATTTACTCTAGATATCTTGATTTTATTTTAAGTAAATAATAATTTTATTGAAAAGATAATAAGACAAACTTAATAAATTTATTCATTTAAAATCTTTAAACATTTTTCAACAAAGCAGCTGTCTATTGAGTTTATTATGGCATCTTCAAATATTTGTTCTATCTCCATTTATAGTAATTTTTCAATTTTTATCTGAAAATAAAATTATTTTTGTAATTATTATATATTTTTATTTATATTATTATATAATTATTGTGATATGATTAATCAAAAGAAATTAAAGAATGAATTCACACTGAAAGTAGCATCAGAACAGACACATTGTATATAGTTTATATATAGTTTGTCAGTTTTTTGATTAATGTTTGTAAAAATATCAACTTATTGATTATAATTTCTTTTAATTTAGATTAATATGATCAATTAATTAGATTAATGTAATCAATAAGAAACCCTCTTATTCTTTTAATTTCTTGAAAAATGAAAAATAATTTTGAGTATGACAGACATCATATAACCACAAAAAATGAAATTCATAAATATGCAAATATATATAATTTTATAAATATAAAAATTAAACAAGGAAAAACTTCTTATCTTCCTTAACATGTAAATGCAAAATTTTTTGAAGAATTTTGTTTTGTAAGAAATCTGACATTAATTCTTATAGACAGAACAAGCATCAATGACATTAAGAAAATTTACAAAATGTATATATCAAAAAATTAATGGAAAGTTATAATCCAAGAATACAGTCTTTATTTTTCTAGCTTTTTAATTAAGGCTATCATATGATTCAATGCTTCATGAAACAAAAATATATTCTGATTTGTTTATTAAAAAAATTAAAATTTAAGCAAAGTAACTTTTAAAAAGTTAATCGGTTAAGGTATATTACGTATTAAAATAAAAACAACAACAAATGTTTCAATTAAACTGATTGAAAGATTTGTATAAATAATTTCAAGAAAATAAAAATATCTAAATATAATTATAAAATTTCAAGGTTACAACTGAAAATTTAATATTAATCTGCAAGTTTTAGAATAATTTATAAAGAACTGAAACAGAGTTTTGTAAAATAAATGTATATTGTCTTAATTGTCTACCTCTAGTAATAAATTATTTAAATTCTAATTATTAATTTTGTATAAACTAGCCAGATTAATTAAGACTGTCATTTGGTTTAATATAAGAGCATTTCTTAAATATCTTTAAAAATCCAAGTTTTATATCTTACATTATATAAAGTATCATTATAGAAATAATCATCATCATTTACTTTTTGCTTATAAGATAAAATACAAATGATTAAATGTATAATTATTTTTTATATAATAAAAAATGGAATTTATTTAAATTCTAAGCATAATTTATTAATGTGTTACTTTTGAATAAAATGATTTTAATAAAATTTCATTGTTAAAATTTATCAAAATTCTAGAATTTGAATAATTTTTTTATAAGAATAGAATTACAATTTAACATGCAACTAGAAGGAAATAGTCAAGGTCATTTAACACAATGAAAGGAAAGTTGACTAAATCCTGCATATATTAAAAAGTATAAATTGTTTAATTTTGGAAATTAAAATGTAAATTAAATGAATCTTGTTGAAGAATTCAGTAATCAATATGAATATATTTAAAATTTAATTATATTATATAATTTTATTATATTACACTTAGATTTTTCAAGAATTTATACATAACATTAATTTTATTCTAATTCAAAATGATTTTTTACATGTAAACATTAAATGAACAAAACTATGTAGTAATACATTAAAAAACATAAAAAGAAATATAGTTAATAAAAAAAATTCTAAAACTTGTATTATTCTTCATTCCTTTAAAATGCAGTTTTTCAATCTTTCAAATAAAAAATGGAATTTTATTTTCAATACAATGATGTTTTATCAATAGTTTTTTTAAAGACACCAAGCATTTCTGTACAGCTCATGTGCTAGATGAAGATAAAAAGTATTGCAAATAGCTCTTTCACTTAACATAGCTCATGCACTAATGTTCAAAGAAAATCAGCTAATTTATTTGATTAACTGTAAAAATATCAATATGCAATGGGCTCTCATTATAATGAACTTGAGCTTGCTAAACTGTAAGTTTGTTATTATAAAAAATGTATATGAATTATCATCAAGCAAATTAAAAAATTAACTCCATATATCCTTTGGTGCTATCTTACCTATCTTACTATCAAAGCCTGGAGTGACAAATAAGGTAAATAACAAAATTAAAAGAAGCATAAATGGCCATCCTTACACCTGTGTCTATGACAATTTGTTGTTGTATATTTACAACTCATTAGTTACTTCTAAGCCTATCCCTCTTATTTTGGACACAGTTATTTACAAATTGGAAAACTTCAGGAAGAGAGAAAGATGTAATGAAATTGTTATAGTAAAGTGAAAATTGTAGGAATTCATTTGCTATAGGACTGACATATTAACCTAACCCATTATAAATATGTTCATACAACTGAAAAATTTTGTTGGGAAAGATCTAAAAGTTTGCTATAATATGATTCTATTGCATTAAATGCAGTATATAATTTTTTAAAAAATTTCTAAATTTATTTTGTTAAAATAATTATAGCCATATCGATTTTTTTACCTTACTCATCCCTTCTCTATGCAGTATTTTGTGGTCTTTTTTAATATACCATTCTTTCCCTAAACCAGGATGCATGTTTTATGGATGAGCCTTAAAGCCAGATTATTCATGGGCTACAACTATGCTAATTATTAATAATCCAAGCATAGTTATAGCTTGTGAATAATTTTGGCTTTAGATCTTTAGCTGCTTTAATATTGGAATATGATTTTTGTTTCTTTTTATATCTGAATAACATCTCAGCACATAAAAAGTTAATTCCTAAATTTAAATATTCAATTTTTCAGAGGTAAAATGTGCAAGAAAATTGCTACAAAAATTATAATAAATAAATTTTATCAATGAAAGGCATGATATCTCTATTTTCTTTGTAATAAAAATTGCTTAGAACATCAACTATATAGCTTGTTTAATGAATCTTGGTTGGACTATAAGAATGTAAAATAGCAGAGACCAGTCTATTTACTTAGTGAAGGCATGGATTGTTTGAAAAATCTTTGACAAAATCACTATGCATTGACATAAAAGGGCTCTCAAACTTAAAATTTCAGAGCCTCAACCAAGTATCACACATCATCCATCCAAGATACATAAAGCAGTCTATAATTATCAAATAATTTTTAATGCTGTTGTAGTTCTATTAGATATTAGAATAAGATGTAAATATATAATTTTCATATAAAAATTATTCTTTAAAGCTGGAACTAATGTTTAATTGGTGACTAAACTGACCTATTATATGCTTCCATCAATGCCATCAATATAAACAAAAAGCAAACATTCAATCTTTCGAAAAGTAAAAACTCAGTTTTTTTCAATATTAAAAAAACAAAGGAAATTTGGATGTAATTTTAATGCATTATATCCTTATATATATATATATATATATACACACACTTAAATCAATTACTGCGACAATGATATAGCACGAAATAGA